AGGGACACCCAGCCCTCCAGGCAGAAATACCAAGAATGATTAAGGAACAAGATTTTTTTTTTTTTTCCACTGCAAGGAGAGTGGATGAGATTCTCTTCCGGGAAATCCAGGTGGAGTGCGCGCCGTCTGCATTTGAACAGGAAGAAGGGGGAGGTGTGTCCCAGAGCAGGTGGACTAACAGGTGCTCGCAGGACCAGCACCGATGGGCAGGTCCGGCTTGAAAGACAGTGGGAGGTCCCAGCCCGAGGGTGTCCCTCCGCACCCAAGCTGGGAAAAGTGCAACCTGTAGTCACACTGGGAGCCTACACTTGGCTCCTCTCACTCCGGAGCTTAAAGTCTTGCAGGCCACTACACTCTGCCAATTTTTAAAAATATATTTTTATTGATTTCCCAGAGGAAGGGGGAGCGATAGAAACATCAATGATGAGAGAGAATCATGAATTGGCTGCCTCCTGCACCCCCGTACTGGGAAACGAGCCCAAAACCTGGGCATGTGCCCCAACCTGGAATCAGACCGTGACCTCCTGGTTCATAGGTCCATGCTCAACCACTGAGCCACACCGGCTGGGCCGGCTATAGCCAGTTGAGGAGGACAGATGTGGGGGCCGGCAGTGAGGCCTTGCGTGCTGGCCCAAGGATTGGGGAATGGCATTTCCTTGCATGGTCCGGAAGGACACTGGACAGTGAGCCAGGAGCCTTACACTAGGCCTAAGGGACAGTTGTCTAGGGCTGCTTTTTAAGAGAAAACGAGGGAACGAAGTGAGAGCAACCGAGGCAATTGGCTTGAACTCGGGCTTCTTGGGCATGGCTGTCAGTGGCAGAAAGAAAACCAGAGGCCTCCCAATGAGGCGGGAACCCTGGGATGTCTGGGGGTGAGAAAGAAACGGTGACTCATGGGTGAGCGGACGGCAGACCGGCCCACGGCGGATGGCCAAGGCTGCAGCCTGTTGAGGGTCTGACACTGCTAGGGAGACGCGCTTCTGGCAGGAGCAGGGGAGTGGGAGTCGAGCCAGGATGCTCTCACTCGGGTGGATGACGCATCCCTCCCGAAGAAGCAGGTTAGAACACCCCCTGCGCTTTCATTCCCTTGGCAGTGAAATCCCAACTCCCATGAGCTCATGAACGGCCCCAGGCAACCACAGGGCTGTGGCGTTTTGCTTAACCCTTATCATTTTTCATGTTTTCACTAAACATATTTGCAGGTGGTCAAGAAGTTAGCAGGCTATAAATGCAGTAAAACAGCATTAATATCCAATTACAAAAAAAAAAAAAGCCCAAATAGGCAGATTTTTGTTCTGAGGCTGGAAATTGGAGTGACCACCCGCTGCTAACGGTAGCACCTGCCGAGCCCCGGTCGCAGTGTGTTGGGGACAAGAGGTGTTGCCTCCCTCCCCGAGTGCTGGGGAAGCCAGCGGGGTGTCCAGTGTAGGAGGCAGCCTGCCGTGGAGGCCAGGACCGACCGCACTTGCCTTTGCCCCGGCCGTGCCCTGCTTCCGCAGG